ACAAAAAGTGTACAAATCATATAATAAATATGTACAAACTAATAGTACCATGTATACAAAATACAACTACTTACAATACAAATGAATATGAGTTTTTTACAAATCAATAATATAAAGTATACAAACTATATCATAAAAGTATACAAAAGCAATATTAAAATGTATTAGAATCACTTGATATAAGTATACAAATCAAGTTAACATTATTTACAAAGATTACTAAAACCATAAAATATCACTACTAAATATTACAAAGGATATAGACCTCATCATAAAGGTATACAAATGGATATTAATAAAATAATCTTCTCGGGTCTCCTTGCGCCACTGCTAGGCTGGCTTGGGAGCTCTGACCAGGAAGTGCCTCTTTCAATTTGATAATAATAATAATTTTTATTTTATTTTATTTATTTATATTATGGTAAAATGAGTTGGACATTAAAATAGATAAATTTTATTTTATTTATTATTTTTTAATTGTCACGTCACTAAGTCAACAGTCAACTTTGAGAGTTGACTACCACATCAGCCAAAGTTAACGGAGTTGGACGGATAGTGACCAAACGTGAACGGTTTCAGTAAACTGAAGTACCACCAATGGATTTAAATATTTCGAGTGACCAAACTTGAACGTTTTTTGTAATCTCAGTGACCAACAATGCAATTAACCCCAAATATGGTTGACAAAAATGACAGACACGGTGGACAAAAATAATAAAGTTTACAAACATTACAAAAAAAACAACAAACATTACAAAAATAACAAAACTTACAAACATTATAAAACAAACCGACAAACAATACAAACTATACTAACCGTACAAAATACCAATACTTATAATATAAATCAATAAACTTGTATTACAAATCAATAAATACAAAATATACAAAATAGACAAACAAACATTACAAATTACAATATATACAAATTAATCATATAAACATTACCAACATAACAGATAAAATAACAAACTAGAATAATAAACAATACAAATTAAATTAATACAAAATTACAAAATAGTCCGATAAACATAACAAACCGACACACTATTGTCAGGAGAATCCCTAATTATCAAAAAGTCTTATCTGACGCCGACGAAAATTCTTGCCGGCGCGGCGGAAAAATCATCTCTCTGTGTGCGCGCGCGAGATGAACTCCATGGATGGGAAATAAAGTTCCCAGGCGGCCGGCCACCTCTCCCTGGGGAAAATTGGAATTTGGCAAATCATGTATGGGGAATAAATTTTCCAGGCGGCCACCTCTCCTTGGGAAGTTGACAAATGGACAGGAACGGAACGCCGGGAAAATTTCAAGGATGTTGGATCCGTGGCCGGCGGAAGAAATGGAATACGCCGGAAAAATTCCCGGCCAGGGAAAAGTGACGGGGCGGTTCAGAAATATAAAGCTTTTTAATTAATTAATAAATTGAAAATTAATAAATCATGCAATTACTACATTGTCCTTCATTTAATTGAATTAATTGGGGCCATCGTATTTGAATGAGGTGGAAGGGCTGAGATTGACCTAATCAAGTGACTAAGCTCCTTCCCTTAGTCACCTGATCTTAGCCCCCTCGACTGGCCTGAAACATGGGTTTTAGGCAGGTTAGAGTCGAGCATGGATTGAGCTAGCTTGCATGGCCCCCCTAAACTTTGAAGTAGAACAAAACGTGAATATAGAGCACAAACAACTTGAGTAGTGTAGTGTTGGAAAGAATAGTTCATTATCATCACTAAATAAAGGGTCGAGAGTTTGAAGGTATGCTCTATCACTTTTATCAATATTTTGCTATCTTCATTTGGTTGACAACTCTCAAGAAGATCCAGACCCTCGACAACCTCAACAGAAAAGGGTGGTCGATCGCCAATATCACTTTTATCAATATTTTGCTATCTTCCTTTGGTTGACAACTCTCAAGAAGATCCAGACCCTCGACAACCTCAAAAGAAAAGGGTGGTCGATCGCCAACAGATGCGCTCTATGCGAAAAAGACGAAGGATCCGCCGACCATTTGTTCATTAAGTGCGAATACGGCAAGGAAGTTTGGCACAAGTAGAGAGCCGCCTGTCCGAGCATCGCCAACACCAGTGAAGACATCTTCTCAACAGTCAAAGATTGGAAATCTAGTCCCCCAAACAATACGGACGAATGGATCAACTTTTGTGCTTTGCACGCGATTACCTGGCAGTTGTGGCTCGAGCGAAACCGACGAATCTTTCAAGAAGCTAGTCGGAGATCCACGGTCGTCGCTCGAAAAGGCTTTAAATCAATGCTTGACTGGCCTATTGCGACGAGGAAAACCACTAAAGAAGAGGGGCATCAATGGCTCAATGATCAAAGCAGAAGATCCATCTACAATGTTCCATGATCCACGCCTTTCTGGAGGGCCTCTCTGCTCTCTCTCTCCCCCCTTCGCTCCCATGTTCTTCGACTCAGCAGGATTTTGCCCTTGTTCTGGGCTCTATTTTTGTACATCCTTTTCTGTTGTTTCTTTTTGGATCTGTACTCTTCTGGCGGCTCAACCCTTTTGAGCTAGCCCTGTACCTTTTTCCCATTTCCTCCCTTCTGTCTTTTTCAGTTTTTTAATAAAAGCTTTCACCATTATAAAAAAAATATTTTGCTATTTATTTGCCTTTCCACATCCTTTTTCTCAATTTCTTGCTAATTATTAGCCTACCCACATTTATTTTTCTAAAATTTCTTCTTTAATTTCTCTTAGCTTCTTTGGAATCACTTGTTCAATGTTGATTATCTTCTTAAGTTAATTTCTTTGACAATTTATCTTATAAATGGTCAAATCTTGATTGAAAACTTTATCATAGGTTCATATGATTTTTGCAATTTTTTGCAAACTTTTAAGTGGATTTTATATAAAAAAAATTAGTGGATTAAATATAATATGTTTATGTTATTACAAGTGTGTTGGGAAAAAAAATTGCCCTCCTAATTAAAAATCCTAGCTCCATCCCTGGAGTCGAGTTTGACTTGCAATACGCTGTGCATCTTCTGCAAAGTCGAGACTCCTCCCACAATCAACATGCGGCTATCATTCATCGATTCCAAGAGCTTTTGTAAGTAGATTGGGTTGTGTCAATCTCCCATGTTAACCGTGAGGCAAATAAGTGTGAAGACTTGCTAGCAGATTATGCTTACCTTTCGGAACTCATCATGTTTTTTTATAAAAGATAATCATGTATTGATAAAAAAAAGGTAGTTCGGAACTCATCAGGTCTCGAGTTCTTTTCTTGATCTATACCCCTTTATTTATATATGACTCTCAGGGGTTCTCTGAGTCTTGTTTGTTTGTGAATCACTGCATCCATTTATAATAAAAATGTGCGGGTGCTGTTTTGTGAGCATTCCGAAGACTTACTAGTTCTTGTGTGAGAGAGATTTTAGGGCTGTGAGCAGGGGCGGAGCCAAGATTTCGAGACTGGGGGGCCGAAAAAAATTAAACAAAATGTATGTGGCCAAGGTGGATTAAACCCATGTGCATTAAAACACAAGTCAAGCTTAGCTACCATTAGACCACATGACTAATACACAACAAGATTTACAGAACAAGTCTACTTATACAATTTGTACTAAATATCCTTAAAATCCTAGGGCCGAGACCAATCTCTAGTAGCCGGGGCCCACCCTAGGTTACATGTAGCTCCGACCCTGGTTGTGGGGAGCAGATCCAGTGAGTAACCTTGTGGTGAGTAACCATGAGTAACCCGTCCATATCAGCATGACATCAGCATCCTCTCTCTCTTGTAAAGCTTTTAATTTTCCCCTCTTTAATCTTTGACGGACGATTTCTCACTCATTTTAAGTCGGAATTTAATTTTTTTTGCACAGTTAGATCAGATTAATTGTGCTCTTCAAAATGATATCTACTTTAATATATTTTTCGAACAAAAAAATTGAGTCATTTTGTACCAGTCTATACCATATGGTATTGACTGGTATTGAAATAAAAGCATACCTATGGTTTGAAAAAAGTACCATGGTGGTATGAAAAAATCAAGACTGTAGGATGGTTGAATACATGATAGTAGAAATATATTAATTGTCATTTACGACTTTTAACATTGTATACCACAAGATATCACCCCGTACCAGTGTGGTATTGTATGGTATTATGTGGTATTTTTTGGTCCTGTAATTTGTTCACCCATAAATTTGTAGATCCAATAGATCATGATGAACTCGTCCCTTCTGTGCAAACGTTTTCAAAAACGAATTAAAAACGAAGAAGATACCATACAATACCACCCCATACCAGGGTGGTATTGTATGGTATTGTGTGGTATTTTTTGGTCCTGTAATTTGTTCACCCAGAAATTTGTAAATCCAATAGATCATGATGAACTCGTCCCTTCTGTGCAAACGTTTTCAAAAACGAATTAAAAATGAAGAAAATACCATATGGTATGCAGTTGGTACCAAGAGGCCAGAATTTTTTGTTCTAAAAAAATATAGAAAATTGATCTCATTTTGTAGAGCACGATGAACTCGTTCCACCTGTGCAAAAAAAATTAAAATCCGAGTTATAACGAAAAAGATATGAGCCGATTAAGAAAGCTAGAGAAAATAAAAATGATCTTTAATTCTCCATCCTTAGATCTGGATTTTCTAAATGAAGGGTCCAGATTTGGTTATTGATGGATGCATAACCCATGGTTATGCACTCTATCTTGAGCCCTGGTTGTGAGAGTTTATACCAGGTGCAAAAATTAAAATGTCATTAATGATCTGTCTCGATGCTCTAAGCGCAATTTAGACAAAAGCAAATTTCAGAATGTGGTTTCTTTCTGAAAAATAAAAGGAATTATTAAGCTGCATAACATGAAAAGGATTAATACAATGTGAAAATACCAATTAACATCCATTTCAGTCTTGGTAACGCTCGCAAGTACATGCACACTCGTCCAAAATGCAGAAGGGTATTCCCGCCAATTCCGTCAATAACCTCACATCAAAATTACCACGCTGCCCTCCGCTCCCTTCTTCCTTAACAGTCTCTCCACGTCTCAGGCGGCGGCGGCGGCTGAGCAGCCGCAGCGAACCCAAACCCCGGCAATGGTTTCATCAGCGCCACGTCACTCCCAAGGCAGGTGTACCGCTGCAGCCCTGCGCCCCCGCCGTACCCCAGCATTTCCCTCGCATTACCAAACCCCATATGATGATCTGACGTCCCGCTGCCGCCGCCGCTGCTTCCGCCTCCTCGGCGGTCTTCGTGGCCGGTCAAACCGAGGAAGTCCCTAGTAAAACGATCGCTCTTCTGCTGCCACGTGGTGAACCCGCCATTAATGCAGCTCCCGGAGGGTTCAACGGCTTGCTGCTGCTGGCAGCGGCGTGGGGCCACGGCGGCTCCGAGCTCGCCCATGTCGAGGTGCGACATCTGGGTCTGCGCCGCGGCGGCCTGAGTTGCGGCCAGGGTGGCGGCCTTCTGGAGGAGCGCGGTGGCGGAGAGGTGGTGCGACGGTGGAGGAGGGTGGTGGTAGAGGGGTGATGGGATCGGGAATTGATGAGATTCCGGTTTGATGTGGATGTCCTGCCAGGCCGCCGCCGGTAAGATTTGTGACAAGAGAGGAGAAGAGGAATGGGAAGCTTCTAGGGTTTGTTGGAGCGGCGGGTTGTTTGGTGTAGTTACGGCGGCGGAGGCGAGTTGGTGGGCGGAGAGGCGGGCGCTTTCCTCTGCCAATGCGTCGCAGAATGCCCTGTGGGTTATGAAGCTGTCCTTTCTGTGGTTTCCCCCCAAAATACAACCAAACAAAACAACAATGAACATAAAACATTGTTAGATAATCATAGAGATGCTAGTATATATACACTATCTGAAAGTTTAACCAACCATAATTCAATTGTTTCATATAAACTCCTTACCATCTCTTATATGATTCTTATATGATGCTCGAAATTGGTGATCCAAAATAGGTTTACCGTTTCTAAAACATTGATTCAAAGGGATGGTTTGGAGAAAAAGGGTAATGTACTACTTGTTATGCATGCTGCCATGGTGATGATGGTGCAAATAGCATTAGCAAAAGGGAAACCAAGCATACAACTATCTATCTACAAAGAAACCCACCAACCAAAAAGTGAAAACTATATCTCCCCCATCTCCCCTTTTTTACTTTTGGTTTTGGAGTCAAAATGAAAAGCATAATTAAAGGGGATATAGAGTGAGAGAGAGAGAGAGAGAGATGGTAATGGGAATGAGAATTGATTGATGTTTATGTGAATGTGCAAATTGCATGCAGAAAGAGGAAAAGGGCACACATGTAGAGGCTGCAGGGCTCTCCAAGGCAATTAATTTAGCAAATATTATGATACCAAGCTTGCACAAGGCGGAAAAAAAGTTGAACTAGCTACCTCTCTCATTCTCTCATCATACTAGCTCCATGAAGCTCATGCACATTGACATTGCAATGTAAACCAAAAAGAAAAATATGGCAAATCTTTGAGAGAGAGAGAGAGAGAGAGAGAGAGAGAGAGAGAGAGAGATGATTATTATAAGCAGCCCCAGCTAGTCTAGACTAGTGGCCCTCGATCATCCCAAAGAATGCCCTGAATGGTAATAATAAGCAATTTTTTTGCAGCAGAAGAGTAAAGGAAAAGCAGTATGTATGTATGTATGTATTTAGCCATGCCCATATTCACAAGTATGTGAAAGCAAATCAGACTATGATCGAAGATTTCTTTGCAGCAGAGCAGGTATTCATGGATCACTTGTTATCCTTTTCATCATCACCATTTCTGTATATATGGTCAGAAACTTCAGAACACCATATATATGATGATGATGACGACCATGGTCCTTTCCTTCTCACCTCAAGAGAGACAAGGACCCAAATGAAAAAAGAAAACAAGCAATCTACACCCATTTCTTCATTTCTGAAAAGGTTTCAACTTATCTCATCATCCCCCATTGTACCAACACACACACGGGCCTCCCCCTTCTCTTCCACTTTACTATTTCTCTAATTTAGTGTCTAGCTAGCTTTCATCATTGCTCCTCAGATTGCATTGCAGTAGTCATCACTCCCTCCCTCCCTCCCCATTTCCAATTTTTTTCCTAAAACGGGTAAACACAAGTGGAACCCAATAATCCCCCTTACCCTAACTTCAAACCCATTTAATGCAAGTTGACGCAGCGAAAGAAAGAAAATCCCTATTTTTCTTTTGGGTCAGCCTGAGCTATGAACCTACGCTGTGTGCCTGTGTGTTGTTGCTTTCAAAGGTGGATCAGAGCGACTAGACAGAAGAATAAATTATATTACTAATAACAAAGAAAAAAAAATGTAATATGTTGTTGGCTAGCAGGTTACCTGGAGAAGAGGGTGCCACAGTCACATCGGTACTCCCTGGTGCCGCAGGTCTTGGAGTGTGCCTTCCAGTCGGACTGGACGGCGTAGATCTTGGAGCACTTGGAGCACTTCCACTTCTTCTCGCCGTGCTTCCTGCAGAAGTGCTTCTTGATCCCGGTCAGGTCCCCCAGCGCCCGAGACGGGTGGTGGTGCACGCAGCTCGGCTCCGGGCACACGTACGCCTTCTTCTTCATCATCGCGGCCTCTTCTTTCCGCTGCTTGAGCTTCCACGGCAAGTTGTGGCCCCGCCTGTGGAGCTGCAGGTTCTGGTCCCGCTGGAACCCTTTCTTGCATATCTCGCACACGAACCGGTTGGTCGCCATCAGGGTCTTGGGGGACAGCGCGATCACCTCCGCCTCCGGATCTGCATATACATATACATAACAAACAAACACTTGACTTGCGTTGTAACTTGTAAGTAAGGATTCGTTATTATTGTTTGGGTCTAGGGTTTTGGGGGGATGCGGGATATACCTGGGTTGCCGGGGAGGTTGCGTTTCTTCTTGGGCTGCTTTTGGAGCGGCGGCTGAGAGGCGGCGGCGGTTGGGGGTGGGAATAGTAGTGATTGTTGTTGAGTGTGGTTGATGAAAGTGGTGTAGATGTTGTCGGAGAAGGAAGCAGCAGCGGATAGTGAAGTAGTGTTGGGCATGGGTGCGCCAAGAAAAGGTGAAGAAGAAGAAGAAGAAGTTGAGGAAGGGAACATCTTTGTTTGGAAGATGAAGAAGAAGAAGAAGACGGCTAAGGGAAAAATCCAAGAGAGGCCAAAACAAAAATATGAGGGAAAAAGGATGGAGTGGAAGGGATAGGGGTAGGGGAGATGAGAATATTAAACCGGTCTATGGAGGAATGATGATGACGTTGTTGTTTTTGTTTGGTTTGGTTTGTTCTGTGTTTTGTTTGTTCTATGGTTTCATAGCAAGCAAAGTAGTGATACTGTCTGTCTACCAAAGAACGGAACAAACAAGGAAACCAAAATGAAAAAGAACAAGAGAGGCAAAGAGACAGAGAGGGAGATAGATAGCTAGGAATCACAAGGCAGGAGGAGAAAGAGGTTGGAGCATGTGGTCGAATATATATAGATAGATGGATGGATAGGGCTGACCTTATTATGGCTTAGATAGAAGAAGAAGAAGCTATAGCCTGTAAGAGAGAGAAGGGAGGGAGGTGGGGAAATGAGATTAGGCAACCATTGTAATTATTGTTTTTTTTATTCTTTCTGTACCTTTTTCCCTGGGTTTATTGCTGCTGATGAAAAATAAGAAAAGAAAAGGAATAGGAAATCTCGTGAAGAGGGGATGATGATGATGATTGTGAAGGTGAATAGATGGATTATCGATCGCTAGCTGATGCTTCTGCTTCTGGTTCTGGTGGGTGATGATGAAGGGCTATGGCTATGGCATATATTCTGGTTTCTCTGCCTACACGTCGCTATCGTTAGCTCATTCTATGAGAGTAGAGAGGGGGAGGCCCATGTATTGCCTTTTCCCTTGCTCGTTTCACTTCAGGTTATAACTAGTAACAACGATTTAAACCTTCTTATAGTTTGTGTTAGACTGACATATTTTTTTTTCCCCTGTACAACCCCGTAAATACTTCTGCTATGAAAAATGGGTTGTGATAAGAAACGCTCAATTTTTCTTGCTCTTGCTACAGTTAAGCGATTCTCTTCGGATAATTCATCAAACCCCAGGATGGCTATAATTTTCTGGAATTCTTTGTAACGTTGTAAGTTTGTTTAAGAAGACTAAGTTGTTAAGATGATAATTTCAACATGTTTCGGTTATTTAGAGTTGTCTATACTTATTTTGTATGAGTATTAATCAATTCGCGAGCTATACGAGATAGGACGTGGATTAGTCGTTTTGTCTTGTTCTCTATTAGTACTATACCTCAAGTATATTTAATTTCTATACAAAAACAATTTCCTTTTCTATTTCACCTTCTCTCAAACGCAACAACTAAAATGGTATGAGACTTTACTTGTCAACTAATTTTACATAGTTAACAATATTAAAAATCATCCTTTTATTATCATAGAAACTATCCAGTATCCCATACATTGAATTTTTAATACAAAATGCCTCATTTCCGATTTTTTTTTTTTTTACAAAAGATAATCTTATATTGATCCAAGCAAAAGATAGTTATATCCTGGAGTTCAGCCATGCCTGAAAATCAAAGAAACGACTTATCGTCTAGTACAAAGGGAGGGCTTTACGAGCCACCGAATGGGCTACCCTATTACTACGCCGACCGACAAATCGAACACTAAACCCAGCATGGCTGCGAAAATACTGCAGAAGTTCCTCCAGCACAGCACCAACACGGTTATTCCTGACGTCCGCCTGATTAATCTTATCAATAATTACCTTGGCATCCCCTTCAAAGCTCACCTCAGATAGGCCAAGCTCTAGGCACCACACCACAGCCTCACGGAGGACAAGCAACTCCACCACCATTGGGTCATCCAGACAAGGAAAATGAACCCCTTTCACCAACCAAACATCTCTCTGTGGCGTCATAAGAACCACCCCTCCAGCCGAGTGCGACCCCCTCCTAACTGCCCCGTCCCACATACAAACAATCCTATTCCCCCCCCCCCCCCCATGCCCCAGTGGATGTGCCTCATGGGGAGCCACCGTAGGAGGAGCCGCCATTGGAATCTTATCATCGGTAAACGTACCCACTCCTCATACTGTTGATGAAACTGGCACATCAAGGTAGGGAACCCAAATTGCTTACCCTCGAAGACAACCCAGTTCCTTGACCGCCAAATCCTCCAAAGGACAGCCACCACCGCCATAAAAAGAGTAGGTTGGTGAATCAAAGCCATTAGCCGCTTCAGAAACAACGGGAAAGTATGACGAGGGAGCCCCTCCCCCAGATAAGCCAGTCCAGAATAATCCCAAATGGCACGCGCCACCGGACAATCAAGAAATAAATGCTCCATCGTTTTCGCACTAGCCCAACAAACCGGACATCAGGGGTGCACAGGGACGTTCTTCTTAATTAGGGCCTCAGTAGTAGGAAGAATGCGATTGAGAATTTGCCAGACAAAGACTTTAAGCTTCGGAGGAATGTTAGCTTCCCACAGGCAAATCCAATAGGCCTTATCCATCCAACCAACCGTTGACCTCCATCCACCCCCTCTTCTATCAATGGAGACAGCTAAATGGTAAGCCGACTTGACCGTGAAGACCCCATCCGCCGTGGCATGCCAGATTAGCCTCATTTCCGATCCAATTTACATTTTTTAACACCTCATACCAAAAATATCTTTAAGACTTTACACAAAAGTTGCTATAATTATAGAGAAGCCAAAGCGCGCACGCACACCCTATAGTCTCAACAAATCCACACACAAAAAAAATCCCAGTGCAAATCGTCTATTAGGCTAACTCCAATGGAGCGTCGAAGTCTCTATATTTGGGAAAAAGTTAGCTCCAGTGGTGTCTCTATATTTGGGGGAGATCTGCAAAAGGATCCCCAAATTTGGGGGTGGAAATGGGGGTTCCGCCAAATATAGAGACTCCCCAAAGCCCGTCACGTGACTTTTCTTTTTCTTTTTTAGATTTTAGGGGTTAATTGGGGTTTAATTATGGGATTAGTTAGGAGTTTAATTAGATCAATCGTTTTCAAGTGTTGTGTGTAAACCCAAATTAGGTTCATAATTTTTCGCCAAAAAAAAATTCGGTCTCGGAATTTAACAAAATTATATAAAAAATTTTGTATATAAAAATGATGACGAACTATACAAAAATTAACAAGAACAAATTATTTTAAGGCTTCGATAAGTACATTTTTAAGTAAATGGAAAAACTGCAAAAATTAAGATCTCCAAATATGGAGATTGGAGCATTAAAGCAAAGGAAGGAAAAATGAGGATCAATCCTCAAATTTGAGGACGAAGACCTCCAAATTTGGGTTTGCATTGGACTTGGCCTTAGTTCCAAGTATGTCATGTGTAATACATTTGCGCCTGTTTATATAACCAAAAAAGGTCGTCTGTGCAGGCAACTAAGGTTGTATGCCACAGAGGCTCTAACTACTAGTACGTACACCAAGTTTACTAATAAATAGCCAATTTCAAGCGATTTTAATTAACTGAAATAAAATCAACTACCATACCAATTAAGAAAACACAATTGGTCGACATTGTTCATATTCAAACATCCTTAGTCGCTTTATACATCTTGATCAAGCACTGACATAATTATGATTCCTCTTCATTGATCAGAGATGTTCTCAAAATAGTATTATACTCGGTATTCTCATTGGTCTAAACTAAGTAGTTAAAGAGCTAAACAATTTTGTGAATTTCTATATTAAGTTTCATGCTAATCCAAATGTTCTACATGGTTCTATATATCTAGTAATCATATCAGTTCTTTCTATCCTGAAGTGATCAGTCATACAATGTAGATATTCTTCAGGCACATGAACCAGTAAATAGTATGCACACAATTATTAAAAATCGCAATGTAACTCAAGGATATAGCTCGAAGGAAAGCTAACATCTGTATCTATATATGAGCACTTCTACTATGCTATATAGTATTGATGCTTTAATGTACAACTCAAAGTTGTACCATAACATTAAATATGTAAGTTTAGGTTGTACCATAAAGCAATTTGTACCATTATGTTATGGTACAACTTTACAACTAGAAGTTGTACCATCACATAATGGTACAAGTTCAAGTTGTACCATAAAAGAATTTGTACAAAAAGTATAGGTATAATCTGAAGTTGTACCATAACGTAAATGTACAATTTTAAGTTGTACTATAAAGGCAAAAACCTATAGCACTAATACTATATAGCATTGTAAAATTTCTCATCTATATATTACATTGAATTAATCCATAATAACATCATTAGGATTCATCTCATTCATAAAATACATTAGTTCATGAGTGATAGTGAAATGAACAAAGAAGATACGATCACAATGATGGAAGAATGTTTGATTTCTCTAATTTGCCTTCTCCGGGGTTGAATTGTTGGGAGAAAATTTTCTAGACTCGTGGCCCGGGATGGGATTAGGTGCTAACCCTTATAAGGGTTAGCACCGTGATAATTAGCAAAAAACGCTATTAAAAATAACGAAATCACTACCGATTATTATAAAATCAATACAACATCTATGCTAAATCACTACTAATTCAAACTAGTAGTAGTTTTTCCCTTGGTTAGGACGGTGCTAACTATTGTACAATTAGCACCGTAGCCGTTCCTATATCATTTCCGAACTCAGAGACTGCCGGCTTCAAGAAAAAATATTAGGATGAATGAGTTCTTATAAACAATATCAAATGCCTAAGTCGGAATGATTAGTTATGTTCCACACATTTTCCTTGAAACTATATATAACAATGAATATCATCATAAGATCACAAACATAAGACCAAAAAAATTACAAAACCCCATGCACAATCACAACATTAACAACCAAAACGCAACAGACAGACAACAACCGCGGGTGGGGTTAAATTCTTGGTTGCATGTTTATGGCAAAAGCAGACGGTTATAGTACGTAGTAATTAAATGCGTGTTTGGTGCTTAATTTGTTAAGTGTGTGTCGTCGTCGTCCTTCCTTCCCTTCTGCAGATGGATCTTTCACTCTCACCCACACGCCAACTCCAAATATTTTCATTCTGTGTTCCTCTTCTTTTCTCTTTTGTCCGTTTGCTGTCTTATATAGGTTTTGTCTAAATTAGGCCTTTTACAAGAGGGCAGCGACAAATGAACCGAATTGAACCTTTGCCTCCCAACAGTGCCCAAACCTCTGCAGCTCAATTTTTCCATTAAGGGTTTGTTTTGTCTGAGGACAAAGTATTAAATGTAGTTGACCAACTCCATTGCCATCCAACTACTCTTAGCTTTAATTTTAACCACTCCCTCTTCTTCCATTTTCAATGGCGCTCTTTGTTGTTGGCGAAAAAAAAAAGGAATATTGTTGTTTGCTTAATGAACAGGGAAGCCAAGTGGGGGATATTCCAATGTCGGTTCATGGTACAAGGGACCCAACCAAATTCCTTGTAAACTACTGTTTTGATGGCAAATACTGCAAACCGGTTTTTACTACACTACTCTGGAGTCTGGACTTCAAGTGTATGGATAGCGTCTGTCAACATTACATATGTTTAAGGGATTCAAACATATCCAACTCGTTCATTTTTGTTTCTAGCTCCTTCTATGCGGACCTCAATTATCCGATCGTAAATCAAATGACTTAGAAGGTGTAAGTACGTGCTTATGCCTAATCACTCAGTAATCAAGCCTACGTACTTGATATAAAAGACATGTGTGGTAGCTCAGACATTGACTTTCATAACAATAATTCCTAGAATATGATTTTCATAGTTGATCTAAACCCGTGTCCAGTTTTAAGTCCATTTTTATCAAGATTCAAGAAGGCGCTAAGCATAAATGGAGTTGAGATATTTTCTAGTGTTTAATGAATAAAATGAAATAATAATTTACAATGCCTCGTGACTTTGGTTAAAAATACTAATAACTTACTTCACACTTAAAGATAAGAAAATAACACAAAAGTTTGTAGAATCATAACTCAATAGCTTACAAAGTTCTTGAGCTATTAAAATGATTTACATAGAAAATTGATTTCCTAGTTTGTTTTAATTTTCCTTTTTGATATTAAGTGTCTATCTCCGTTTGATTATACTTAGAAGACATTTAGGTGTCGTCTTACTTCGTTAACGTGTACCCAGTACCTAACTAGATGCGGACCCCTCGTATTTCCTAACGGTTAGGCTACCTTTTTGAACCATGGTTTTTATACATTAATTAATTAATAGCGCAAGTAAACTACAACCTAAAACACTGTTCATCACGACAAAATAGCTAGAACCCACTTTTACCGGGGAAAGCCGACCTTGTGCGTGTGATCAATTAATTGCAACCCCACTTTTATCGTGTTTTATGAGAATTTTCTGGGGGTTGGTACTGTTCATTAGAGAGCTATATCATGTGGGTGGGTGTACCCAATTTTTTGGGCTAGCCGAGGGATTTATTAATCTTCTGTTTAGGGGATTTATTAATCTTCTACATTACGTAAATTATAAATATATAACATAAAAATTACATTCCACAAAAGTTTCGCAATGTCAGTTATTTTTTATATACCATTTGATCAAATGTGATATTTTTCATATCTTAATTCCTTTATTACAATATTCATCATCTCATTGATTTGTATTATGCAAAAGTTCCGAAAGTGAATTTTTACGTAATAGTTTAATTAATGTTCCATAACCTGATTTTATTATTAGACCACACATTATAGAATTTTTGTGCAACATCATTCTTTTGAAAAAAAAAGTTCTATGATAGTTTCATAACTTGATTTTATTTCATATGATGGGATATGTTATAAAGTGTGATATCATTAGACCACACATTATAAAATATTTATATAACAACGTTCTATAATAGTTCTTTATCTCCTACATCTAATTTTACCATAAACTTTTGATTAGTTAACTATTACATAATAATTTAATCATATGTTACTTTCACGTTACTTTCTAAAATTTTGTTTTATTATTAGACCACACATTATAAAATATTTATGTAACAACATTTCATAACAGTCATGTAAATTAAAAATCAATCAATGTTACTTACTATAACTTACTTTTATTATTAGATCACACATGAAAGATTTATGTAACAACATTCTGTAACTATTACATAAGTTTTCTTTAATGATTATAAAATATTTATGCAACAACGTTCTATAATAGTTCTTTATCTCCTACATCCAATTTTACCATAAACTCTTGATTAGTTAATTTTGACATAATAGTTTAATCATATGTTACTTTCATGTTACTTTCTAAAATTTTGTTTTATTATTAGACCACTCATTATAAAATATTTATGTAACAACATTTCATAACAGTTATGCAAAATAAAAATGTTACTTACTATAACTTGATTTTATTATTAGATCATACATTATGAAAGATTTATCTAATAACATTCTATAACTGTAACATTAGTTTTCCTTAATGATTAAGAGACTACGTAATTTTATGGACAAATAATCATTTTATATGCATCAATTAATTAAAAAATGTAAGTTTTCAATATAGAATAAACACTTCGTAAACCTTATGTAGAAATAGTTATTTACTATATATCATTTAACAAATGGATGTTGTATGTTATTCGTAATGATTAAATCATTATGTGAAACTTACATATGTATCTTATTTGAATAATTTTGTGAATTATTTGATTTTAATCATTATTTTCTTTCCGCGGCGGAGCGCGGGCCAAAAAACTAGTAAGATTTAAGTCTCTCTTGAATTATGAGGAAACAGTTAATTTATCCTATAAAGTGTCAATGTAGTTTTGTTCAAAACAAGAGTTGACGTACGTAGTAGTTGCATTAAGAAGGGAAAAAGAGCCCTTCCTTTGTTGGGCTAAAAAGCCCATAAACTATGCTCGAACAATCTTGCTTTTATTTTGTAGGTGCATGAATACAAATGAGCCAAGGATATTGGGCTGTCTTAACTACTGTGATAAGTGGGCCTAAACTTGTGGAGTGGTTAAAGCTTTACCAGCAAAAACAGGCTTAATCAGTACTGACCATTGGAGAAAAGTACAAACAACCACAACCAATAGGTTAGCTAACCAGCGAACACTTGCATCAAGTGATTCGCTTTGGGGTCGTTTGGATTAGTGAATGTGATGAGGGATTTATGAGTGATTTTGAAACAATCTTTCATTGTGTAGGATTTTAAAATAATTCTGCGTTTGGAAAGGTGAGAGATTGTGGGCATGAGGAAATTCTAAATCTCTCATATGAGAGTTTTTAAAATAGCTGATGGGGATCAGCTATTTCACAATCACTCATTTTTTCTCATTCTTTTCCAAACTCTGCCCCTCCTTTTGTTCTTCCTTTCTTATTCTTCCTTAGGGATTAGGGATGGGTATAATTGTAACTTTAATTTTTAATTAAAATCCTTCATCTATTCCCAAACATGTTATTTGGATCAAATCCCACGTTTAAAATATCTGGGTTTTTAATTGAGAGATTTTAATCCAAAATCCCTCATTTACACATTCCCTAATTCAAACGACCCCTTGAAGTTTTAAAAAGTGTAGATGTGGTTAAGCATTTCGGAACTGTTTACCTTATTGAGATTAGGGTATCAATGGGTGACGGCCTAATTGAATTCAATTGTCATGATTTATAAGAGGGGTTAATTGCAATCTTGTTCACTGGAATTACTGAAAACGTTCATGTTTGGTCACTAAAAATATTTAATTCCATTCGTGGTCACTAAAATTAGTTAAACATCTCAAGTTTGGTCACTCTCCGTCAAACTCCGTTAACTTTTGCTTACGTGGCAGTCAACTTTTATAGTTGACCATTAAATGTGTGACATGACAATTAAAAAATAACAAAATAAATAATTTTTAAAATTTCCACCTGGTTTCTTACTATTATTTCTAACTGTTAAAAAATGCTTCCCCGTCCAAGAACACCTTCAAGCTCGCCGGCGTTAATGGCACCGATTCCCCACCTTGCCCTGCCGCCAGCGACGACTCATTCTCCGCCTTCACCGCCTTAAAGCTCCCCTCGCCACCATCATGGACTTCCCCAATCTTCATCTTTCTAAACCCGCCGCAACAGTCACTCAATTTCGATGGGGGAATGAGTCGGAATTCCTACCGGCTTAGAGTGGGAAGTTGAGGATGGCTCTGCTGCCATGGAGGCGAAAGGCGGCGATATCGTATGCTTTGGCAGTCTCATTCCTAACTGACTTCCCTTCCATGGATTCCTTCATCTCCCACTTCCAACAATACCAAACCCCCTCTAACGGTCCTTCTGTTTCATTACTATCTCATTCTCCTTCTTCTAGCTGCAACAGTACCTTAAGCTAGAGGAAGCCACCCATGTCCAACATCTCCGTTCCCAAGCTCCCACCTCCCCCCAGACCCGATCGACCCAAATCCAGCTCCATTCCTATCTCACCAATTACGTGGATGACGGAAAGCACTACAGAGGGGTTTGACGGAGGCTATGGGCGATGATGCAACCCGACTTTCCCCTCTCCGAATCCACCACTCCGGATCTCTTTCCCCTCTTCGATTCCACCACTCCGGCGAGTCGCTTCCCTAATTTATAAAGAGATAAACCAAACCGAAGATCTTGCTTCCTGTGAATCCAATAGATTTTCACCAGATCTTCACTACCTTCAGCAAACACCATCCTCTTATTCGTCTTCTTGTTTCTTCTTGAGTTTTATCCAAAACCAAATCCCTAGAGCCAAAACCACCAAAAAACCAACACGACCGATTGTGATGCTTGCAATTGAACTAGAGGAAAACCAATTCGAACGTGAAGATGGCAATATGAAAATTGGGAGATTGGTGGTGGTGTTGAGATCACTTGTTGTTGGCCCTATATCGCTGAAACTCCAAGCTAAACCCACAGAGAGACAAAGCCTCCAGAGGAATTGTAGTAACCGGCGAGTTAAGTCTTGGCGGATTCGATGTAGTAATCACCAAAGCATACAACAACGCCACCTTCCGCCTCCGTGGCGGCAAGGCCATCCTCAACTTCCGCCTCCGTGTCCACCAATCTCATTAGTACGAGGCCTTTTGGGGGAGGACACCCAAGAGTAAAACCGTGCGGGCTTGGCCCAAAGCGGACAATATCGTACTAATGGGCTACCCAGTTATGACAACAATAATTATATTGATGCTTAGAATTGACCTAGGTGAATTAGAATGGCATGATTAGGGGTGTATGGACTTTTATGCTATATGATGAACCATGGATTGTTGTATGATATTATTGACTTGCCCTAGCCGATATGGACCTTGTTTATGTTGATGATTGCATACATGTTGCCATTTGTGGCTTAACCGTTGATATGACTTCATGGCTGTTCGATCAGGTGTTTTGACATGATGTGATATTGTGGTTGTTTTTTGATTCACAAGTGGGGGAAATAAACTTCCCAGGGTGGTATTATGATGTTTAAGGAGGATGACTTTCACGAGGGTTTATCCCGAGGAAGTGCAATTATACGACTCCTGATTTACCTATGTTGAGCCAATTATGGCCATGTCAAGTAAATGTGCAAGTAATGAATTATGATTAAGCAAGATGAGATATGAATCATGTATAAGGATACCAAATATGAGTGTTGTGGTCTCACGGTCAACTACATAGTAATTAGGGCTCCCTATGCTATTACTCTATTATGATATGTATGATAGTCACACCTCTCATGTGGTGGTGACTGAAGAATTCTTACGAGATATGACCACACCCAGAGTGGTGTCGGTGTATGACTACAGCCATAGTGGTGCGGGGTATATATGACCACATCCGACGGGATTTTGGGGTATGTATGACTACATCCGAAGGGTGTGGGGTATGTTCCCGGGAGAGTTATTAGCATGGGAGTAGCCAGGCGCCTATAAGTAAAACATGATAAGATGCATATGCATAAGTCAAGGTGGTTGAGTCTTTTGCCTATTGGGATTTCGGAGGGCTGAGATCTGATCCTAGTGCTTTGGCTTGTTTGCTAGATGTATGGTATGGGTATGCTCTGTTATGAACTCACGATGCAATGATTGTCTCACTCAGCCATGAGCTGACCCTCTTTTATTCTTCTTCTCTGCTTATGCTATGTGTAAGCAGATCATCAGCATCAGCAGTAGATAAGTGTTAGGTGGGAGAGGAGCTAGAGTTGAAGTCAAGATGAGGTATGGTCTTCAACTATTCTGTGCTTGGGCGACTACTTGGGATTTTGGCCAGTGATCCACACCTTTTTGTAAAAAAATGTTTTGAGAACGTTTTTCATGTGCATACTAGCTTCTGATGTAGTGTGAGATATCCACAGGTGTGGAAAGTTGATGATATGTGTATATGTTGTGTAACTATGTAAGTTGTGACGATTATGGTATGTATAAGTATGGTATGAAGTTGTGGAGTATGAAAAGTGTGACTATGGCTAAGAAAAGCCAATGCATATGTTTGTGAGTATATATGTGTAACACCCTACCCTATACGTTTTGCCTAATCATATTGTTCATACAATTGCAGCGGAAATAATCTCGGGTGTTACATTAATTATCAAAATTTACCAAAATAAAATTTCGACATGAATTACTCGCGTAATGGGCTAACAGTTCTTCCATATGATCCTGCAAAATAATTCATCTGAATCCATGCATTCATAGACAAACACATATACTCACAACCATATGCATTGGCTTTTCATAGCCATAGTCACAGTTTCATACTACACAACTGCATACCAAACTTATACATACCATAATTGTCACAACTTACACAGTTACACAACATATACACATATCATCAACTTTCCACACCTGTGGATATCTCACACTACATCAGAAGCTAGTATGCACATGAAAAACGTTCTCAAAACATTTTTACAAAAAGCTGTGGATCACTGGCCAAAATCCCGAGTAGTAGTCCAAGCACAGAATAGTTGAAGACCATACCTCATCCTGGCTTCAACTCTAGCTCAGCTCCCACCTATACACCTATCTACTACTGCTGCGGATGATCTGCTTACACATAGCATAAGCAGAGAAGAAGAATAAAAGAGGGTCAGCTCCTAGCTGAGTGAGATAATCATAGCATCGTGAGTTCATAACATAGCATACCACTACCATACATCTAGCAAACAAGCCAAAGCACTAGGATCAGATCTCAGCCATCCTCATATCCCAATAGGCAAAAGACTCAACCACCTTGACTTATGCATATGCATCTTATCATGTTTTACTCATAGGCGCCTGGCTACTCCCATGCTAATAACTCTCCCGGGAAACATACCCCACATCCCGTCGGATGTAGTCATACATACCCCAACATCCCGTCGGATGTGGTCATACATACCCCACACCACTATGGGTGTAGTCATACCCCGACACCACTCTGGGTGTGGTCATATCTCGTAAGAATTCTTCAGTCACCACCACATGAGAGGTGTGACTATCATACATATCATAATAGAGTAATAGCATAGGGAGCCCTAATTACTATGTAGTTGACCGTGAGACCACAACACTCATATTTGGTATCCTTATACATGATTCATATCTCATCTTGCTTAATCATAATTCGTTACTTGCACATGTACTTGACCAGGCCACAATTGGCTCAACATAGGTAAATCAGGAGTCGTATAATTGCACTTCCTCGGGATAAACCCTCATGCAAGTCATCCTCCTTAAAACATCATAATATCACCTTGGGAAGTTTATTTCCCCCACTTGTGAATCCAAATACAACCAAAATATCACATCATATCAAAACACCTGATCGAACAACCATGAATTCATAACAACGGTTAAGCCACAAATGGCAACATGTATGCAATCATCAACATAAACAAGGTCCATATCGGCTAGGGCAAATCAATAATATCATACAACAGTCCAGGGTTCATCATATAACACAAAAGTCCATACACCCCTAATCATGCCATTCTAGTTCACCTAGGTCAATTCTAAGCATCAATATAATTATCGTGATACGACAAACCCGGTATGCCGTGCTAATCCCTCACCAGCTTTGGCCGTTCAAACACCGGTTTTAGCTTCCCGTACTAAAACGTCAATTTCACGAACGAACCCCGAATTAAAATCCGAGACCGTCCTAATATCCCCTGCAGTATCCCCGTCAATATTAGTTCTAGGCTCCGGGTCAAATTCTCGATAAAAACACATCAAACCCTGGCCGGAGCTAAATTCAGCGGTTCGGACCCCGGCCTAAATAATAGCCGAAATTCAGGGATTTGAACTAGAGGATTGATTACCTCGCTGCAGGAAGCTCGTATATGAAATTTGGGCTCAATCCGGCTTCCGGATACTCCGAAACCCTAATTTGGCAGATCGGGAATTCAAGAAATTCCTGAACCAAAAACTCGTTTTAAAGCTCTAAATTGATAAATCACGATGAATAGATGAATTAGGTATTACTTACGGGATTTTTGGATCACTAGGGCTCAAGATTTGAGCTGAGAAATTTTCACAGGACTTCCCCTGTGCGCGGCTCTGGTCGCTAAGGTTTTTGCTTCTCTCGGTGGAGAAATAGAAAGAATGAAACGATGATGAGGGGAGAGAAAATGGACCGGCCACTTTATATATATATATATATAATTAATACGTATACTTATCCGATCGATCGATAATCCGATTTTCGTCAAAATAGTGTCGAAATGCTCGATTTTAAATCGCGAACTTTCTAGCGATCGAAAAATGGGTTTTGCCGGAACGGGATGTTACAATATGTTTGTGATTAATTATTTTGCAGGATAAGTTGCAAGAACTGTTAGCCCATTACGCGAGTAATTCATGTCGAAATTTTATTTGGGTAAATTTTGATAATTAATGTAACACCTGATATTAATTCCGCTGCAATTGTATGAACAATATGACTAGGCAAAACGTATAGGGTAGGGTGTTACAATAAATTTTTGTTAAAAGAAAATATGAATTAAGGTTCATGCAAAAATTTTGCAATTCGTTCTCAATCAATAATCCTAATTTATTTTCGTATGCAAAATCTATAGAAGGCACTAATGTGGTGGGGGAATTAGCAAGTGAGATTAAGTTTCCCACCTAAATGTAAAATAATATGCATTTGAGATAGGATAACTCATTACATGTTCTCAAATCTACTCTATCAAATTAGTCATGCCTATAAGACTATAGTAAGACTTGCTATAGATAATATTTTAGTCACTAAATATTACACTACTAAATCATCACACTTAAATATTGTGATAATGAAATTGATAATTAATTAAACTCATAAACCATCATATGAAAACATTGTGATGTGCTTTCTCTCTTCTTTCTATTCAAAACTTTATTTGAAAATACAAAATTCCCCCCTTATATTTCTTGCCATAAATAAAAAACATCAAAATTTCCCACTTCATTCTCTTCCTATAAATCAAAAACACTAAAACTCTCCTTATTTCTTTTCCCAAACTTGAAGCACCAAACTTTCCTCTTCTTTTTTTCCTAAAAAGTTGAAGACACCAAAATTTTCCACTTCTTTGTTTTCCTAAAAACAAAAGCACCAAACTCTCCTTCCTTTTTTCCTCCAAAACTTGAAGCACCAAATTTCCCTCTTCTTTTCCCACAAAAAAGTTGAAAATATCAAAATTTCCCACTTCTTTCTCTTCCTATAAACCAAGTCACCAAAACTCTCCCTTGTTTCTTTTTTTCAAAAATTTAAAAACCAAAATTTCATTTTCTTTTTATCCCAAAAAACTGAAAACACAAAAGCTCCAAAAATTTATCTTCTTTCTTTTGAAGTGAAAGTTGAGTATAGAAACTTGCCAACTGTGTGTGCGAAGTGTGGTACATTTGGTCATAATTGTGATGTGATTTTGGGTCCAAAAAGAGTATGGATTCCTAGGCAAACCTCAGTAGTTGAAGATGGTGTGATTCAGGATCGTCCTCTCTCAGAGAAGGTGTTTTGTGATGCGTTTACTAATGAGATGCAGACTGTAACTAAGGTGGATATTGGTCAAGTTGTTGTTCACTCTAATCCCAATCAAGTAGCTGAGGTGGATATTGGTCAAGATGAGATTCACTCTAACCTTAATCAAGTAAGGAGCCCTCCAGTGAGTTTTGCTTAGGTAGTCAGAGGGTCACCAATTGCTGGGAGCCTTTTGACAACTAAACAGTTGGCTAAATCAAATGAGTCATCATCGTCTGACGATGGGAGCTCTAAGATTAAGTCAGCTCAGGGAGGGAATGAGAGTGGACTGTCTATTGCTAGCAAGGATGTGCAGACTCCACAGGTTGATAAAGGAAAGAATATTTGGGTAGAAGACTCCCATGAGATATTTCAAGTGGTAAAAAGAGGGGGTAAGGGTGGAAAAGGTAAGAAACGAATGAAATGAAGATACTTACCTGGAATACTAGAGGGTTTGTAGATGATAGTAAGTATTTAGATTTACGTAGAAAGATAAATAAGTAAAATATTAGTATAGTAGCTATACTTGAGCTGAGAATTAGAAGAAAAGAAGAGAAAAAGCTAGTGAATAAGAGGTTTCCGGACTGGGAGAATGAGATTACTTATACCTTGGCTGGTTTGGGGAAGATTTGGCTGACTTGGAGGAAGGATAGGTCTCTATGAATCTTTCACTCTACTGATCAGTTCATTCATGTTCTAGTTAATGATGTTGTGTCTTTCTTTGCATCATTTGTGTATGCTTTGAATGAGGAGAAGGAAAGAAGGAAGTTGTTTGAAGATCTGAGGAAGGTAAGTCCAGGGGATTCCTTGGATGATTTATGGAGACTTTAATGTGATCAGAAGTCCAGTTGAAGCCTCAAACGTTACCCACTATAGTACAAGTATGAAGGATTTTGATAGTTGGATTATGGAGTTAGAACCAGAAGACTATCAAGCTATGGGTTCGTGGATTACTTGGCAAAACAAGCAAGATGCTCGTCCTATTGCGAAAAAGCTTGATCGAGTATTGGTCAATTTTGACTAGTTAGATAAGTTGATGGGGAGCTCAGTCCATTTTCAGAAGCCAGGGGTTTCAGATCACTGTCCAAGATTGGTTGATACTGAGGCTGCAAAGCAATCTCTGCCAAAGCCATTTAAGTTCTTCCGTTTCTGGACCAGACATCCGAAGTTTGATGAGTTACTAAGGACGACGTGGGAGAGCAGGGTATCAGGGCCACCAATGATTAAGGTTTATAAGAAGCTGCGAATTCTTAAGAACCTATTGAAGAAATTGAACCGAGAGGAATTCTCTAAAATAAGGGAGAGGGTTAAGGTGAAGGAGGCCGAACTTGAAGAAATTCAGTGTGAAGCTCTCTCAGTCCCAACAAGTGAGAATTTTAAGAAAGAATCCACGGCTTCTAGGGATTTATATGAGCTGCTTCAGGCGGAGGAGTCATTCTTAAGACACAAATCAAGGGATCTTTGGCTTAAAGGGGGAGATTCAAATAGTCCCTATTTTCATAGGTCTCTGAAAATGAGGCAAAGGAGGAATACGATTACTACGCTGAAGGATGAAGAGGGGAATAAGGTCACGGACCTACACAGAATGGGAGATATTGCTGAAAGTTTTTATAAACGTTTGCTGGGTAGGAAAGATCCTGAGGTGATCGATGAATTTGATGAGTTTTATACTGAACTCATAAGGAAGACTATTTCTAGTGATGATGGTCTATGTGCTTCTATTTCGGAGGAGGAGGAGGTTAAAGGAGTTGTGTTTGCTATGAATAGGGACAAAAGTCCAGAGCTTGATGGATACTCAGCAGCTTTTTTTCAGCATGTTTGGCCAATGATTGGGGCAGAGGTAACTCTTGCTATTCAAACTTGCTTTTCTGAAAGTAGGATACCTAGGGAAGTGAATCCTACTATTTTAACTCTAGTACCTAAGATCCAGAATCCTGATGAAACGAGGTTTTTTAGACCAATCTCCTGCTGTAACACTATTTACAAGGTCATTGCTAAGATCATTGCAAATAGAATTCGAGTTCAGTTACCTCACTTAATTAGTCTGAATCAAACTGCATTCATTAAAGGAAGATCAATTGGGGATAACATTTTGCTTGCACATGAGATTGTTCGTAAGTACACCCAGAAAAATGTCTCTCCTCGCTCTGCGCTTAAAATTGATTTAATGAAAGCCTTCGATTATGTTGATTGGCTATTCATTTTTAAAGTTTTAAAGCACATGGGGTTCCCTGATTAGTTCATAAGATGGATTGTGTGAGAACACCTATGCTAAGCATGGGGCTTAATGGAGGGTTAGTGGGGTATTTCCCTACTTGCAAAGGTTTTAGACAAGGATGTCCACTCTCCCCCTGTCTTTTTTTCATTGCCATGGAGATTTTTTCATGTTTTAGACAAAGGATATGACACGCCTCTACCGTCATACTAGAGAGTGGCCAAGTGTAACCACCTACTAATATGTAGTATAGCTGGTTCAGTTCTAATTTTCAACCCAGGTCCTAGGTGTGATGACTACTCCGTGAAAGTCTTGTTATCTAGGGGTTCAAGTGTAGTGAAGGTTTAGTTAAACTAGCAAGAAAAGCAGTGAAAGTTGTGTTCAAGTTGAGAGAGGTCACCCGGATATGGTTCCCCCTAGACTGCAGTTAAGCCAGGTTGTAATTTACCAAGTTCAAGTTCAATGATAGTTATATCGCGGGAGTTTCTTGAATAGTTTGCAGTCTCGACTAAAGATCTCCAGACTCTCTCATTCTGATTCCCCAGCGGGCGACTAACCTCCACCAGAGTAAACGGATTGAGGCCCAAACGAACCAAACCTCCTCTACTGAAGTAAATCCCGTACAGATTAGTGAATTGACTCCTCGACTAAAGTCGTCAATTCACTACCTTCAATCTAGGTGCTCTATCAACCTAGGCAAATATTCTCTTTCTAGGTCAAAGCAGAAATAACAGGAATTTGATCAGGATTCATGCCATTCAAGAAATCAAACCTCAATTGAATATAATCATATCACTAAATTCATACTTGGGTGCATACAATCAGACCTAACATACAAATCTAGGGTTCTTCATACCCAGGTGAATGAGAATGTTACTCCATAGAGAGATAAGGGAAATCTAGCTCAGATGCGGAAACCATACTGTGAAGGATGGAATTATGCTTCTGGCACTCAATCAACACTTCTCCAAGCTCAAGCCAGGCTCCAATGGTGAAGAAGATCGATCTAGGGCACTTAGAGAATTAGGTTCGTCACTTTCTCTCTCTAGGTATCAGCTTTTTCTCTCTAAAACTCGGAACCCTTCAAAAGTTGGCCTTCTTTTCCTTAAGAACCAGTTGTTCGCGATCCCCGACCATAGTACCCGGTCGTGTATTTCAGGTGCGCGGCCGGTGATTTTGAAATGCAGCGCAGCGGTAAAGGGTTAATACCCGATCGTGGTCCAGAATACCCAATCGGGTATTTTTGCTCTCTGGCCGAGACCCCTCCTGTTTCTCGACGTCCAAAATCGGTTTTCCCTGGCCTCTCTTAGCAATTTACCCGCCGGGTATTTTCACTCCTGGCCGGCTATTTTGCTACTCCAGCACCCTTCTACTCCAACGTCCTTTTTGACCCGAAACTCGTTTCCTCGCTTT